CCACTTGTGACTTGTAGCAAAAGAAGCAACTGGCCTGGTTTATATTGGGGAAAGAGTGATTAATAAAAGTTAATGATGGGATTGAAACTAGTGCAGGAGGCAGCTTCTCAGCTGGCTTTATTTAATTAGCAGCAATTAATGTATATTCAGCTAATATCCTTTAGGACTGTCTAAGACTTGTTCACCATGAGAGAGAACAGAGGAGTTTCTTTCAAGGATCCAAGACAGTCTCCTCTGATGGCAAATTTATTTAAGAATACGTTCATAAACAGGTGCTCTGAGAATTGGTAAAATTGACAAACGTTGTTTTCACTGATGTGGGAGTGCACTTTAAAAAAAATGCAGAGAAATGCTTTGAGAAAGAGAGTTAAAAAAGACAGGAGCTTAGAAAAAAAAAGAAATTATTTTAGACTAGCTGTAGCAGCAGACGAAGCAGCCGGTGCAAACACATCAGTCTGCACGTATTGAAGATTTGGACACGTAATGCTTCAGACCACTGATTTGCCATTTTCTTAATTCCCGCTCTTCTTTTTCCATATGAATCAAACAGTCTTTTGTCCTTCAGGGTTTGATTTGATCGCTACTGTTCACATTTCACTTTTGTATTTTTCTCTTCCTATACCATTACTCATTGAGTGCCCCGTGAAATTACAATCGTACATTTTCAACTCAGCAACCCATTTACAGTGCAAAAATAGGGTCTAAATAATGGCTGAATTAGCCCTACTGGACAGTTTCAGATGTAACACTGTAATAATTATATTGCAGGCTGGATTAGGATGCTATTATCATAATCTGGACGTTTACAATTATCTGTAATTTGCAAAGATGCGCCAGGTCTTGATTACAGCAGTTTTTTTTTCTTCTTCTTCTTCTTCTTTTTTTTTTTTGTATCACGCTAACCATCACTAAACAGTGACAGTAATAACAGCTAATTTTGCTGGCAATATAAGAGGTGCTGGGGTGTGCAAACAATTTCACACCTGGATGTGCTCACTCAACCAAGAATATAGAGAAAGAGCTTCTGCCCTGAGACTCAGAAAAATATTCTCCTCCGCTTCTGTTCAGTATAGATTTCTAGACTCTGAACATTGCCTAAGAGATATTCACTGAGGGTAAGTTTTTATTTCTTGCATACTTCAAGAAACAGTTCACCTTTCTCTTCTCATACTTTCTAAGCTATATGTGTTACTGTTGTAATTTGTCAAGGACTACAACTTTGTTTTATAAATTGTTTCAAGTCTGACCTTATATTCCTCTGTAAAAGGATTGTGCTTTAGTAAGTAAAGGGGACACAGCAACAACGGGATCCCTAAAAATTCGGTGTGTCTTTCTTGCTTTCTGTGTTGATGTGTTCAGTGCCGCTTGTGACTGAAGAGTGAGCAAGGGACCAGGCTTCTGCAGAATGTGGAGGAAGCCTGCGGCAAAGTCCAAGTTAAAATACATTGGAAACTGGTAATAGAAGGAAGCTTTAGGAAAATGCATTGAGGTCTCGTCACGTCGGATTATTTTATGTTTGGGGCATCAAGAGAACAGCTCTGGCGACAGGACTCCTTGGGTATCACAGGTATGCAGGGATTTTCAAAGGCAGGTGTAGTCTGAATCCTTGCATTGTGTAGCCTCTGAAACATACATCTTCCACTTGGAGGAAAGTTTTCAGGATGACTGACCTCTGAAAATCTTCAAGGCTGTTTTGCAGGGCCTTTGCCTCAAGCTGGTGTATCCTGGGGACAGGGAAGGATGATTGAAGTGGGAGGTGGGTGCAGATAATGCAGGCTTGCAGGGGTTGGGGTAGGGGTGGGAGAGTAAATAGAATAGGTCGCAGGGGTTGAAGGGTATAGGAGGTTGAAGATGCTGAACCCAACCGTGAGTCAAGGTTACAAACCAGTCTGATTGAGCTTTATCAAGGAAGACTCGTTCCAGAAGTCGTGCTGTTCTATCTATAGATGACGCTGTTTCCTGACCCTGTAGATGATGCAGGCAACTAGCGATGTTAAGTGAAGGAGACTGTGACTCTATGATTCCCCCACCCCAAGTCAGAAAGGCCTTTCTGTGGTGGCCGGAACCTTTGGACTAAGTGTGTCAAAAGATAATGAGATGCTTATTGAATCCAGAGGAGGTATCATCCTTTCCACACCCAACCCCACCGCAGCCCCGCCTCTGAGGCTTTTTTTTTTTTTTTAACATGAGAAATGTGGTCAAAAACCGGCTCTAAAACTCGAACTCTGTAACCTCCTGGGAATTTCTAAGTTGGAGAAGTGTAGTAGACCTTATGACTGGACGCTGTCTTTTGCCCAAGCCCCTCCTCCTGTTCCCTCCCTGGGGACCTGGTTTACTATAGGGTCAATACATTCTAAGGAGTTAAAATATTAACCCTTGAGAGTCAGAGGAACCAAAGGTAACTTAGTTCTAAGGGGAGTTCTGGGAGGACCTCCTGGCAGAATTTGTTTAATTAAATTCATGCTAAGATACAGAGAGCTTCATCATACACGCACATCATGACAACAACCTCCAATGTTAATATGCATTTGCTTGGGCTTCAGAATTCCATGCACTCACAGTGGTTTGGCATGTATCTAGTGCATTTTTTTAAGAGAAAAATTAGTGTTGGTTTCGATGTATGGTAGCTTTTTCTCTAACATAATTTGAATAATTCAGCAAAGCCCCACTACCAGCTGTACTTCTGCAGCCTCTTCCATTCTTTTCAGCATTATAATTTTGGTTAATTTTCAATTTTAGGTCCTACGTCTCTGCAATTTGTGTATGAATAACAGAATAATTTCCCTCTTTTGTTTCGCCTTTCCTGTTCCTGAATCTAAATAAAGATGGCTTTTTAGTATTAAAAGTGGAAGAAAATTACAGGTAATTATCTTTGACGGTAAAAACGCTGTAATCAGCGGGCTACATGAAAAATTACTCTAATTATGGCTGCATTTAAGAGAATGGAAAAAAACCTTCTTGTGGATAAAAACCTTAAATTGTCCCCAATGTCTGCTTCAAATTGGATGGCACTGCAGCTGGAGGCTTTGTTCAGAATTGATCCTGGGGAGCTACGAACCCAAAGTTTCACAGTAGGAAGGGGGAAAAAAGAAAAGAAAACATTTTTCCTAATGTAACAATGCGAATGCTAGAAAATGACAAGACTGATCGGTTTTAAACCATTCTGAAGACTGACTGAGCGTGGAAGTTGCTCAACAAAAAAAGGAACGGGTATATTGGTAAGTAGTCTTTGCTTTGTGTCTAATTATAGTGACTGTCCTTTTGCACGACTGTATGTCGCTGTCATTATATGGAGCACTCTGAGTATCTCTATTGACTTCTGATAAATGGCTCAGTGGTTTCAAGGTTCATAATTTGAAGGATGCCCAGGTCTGTAGCCATTAATTCTCGCAGTATGGGGCTTCCTGCTTGTATGACGAAAGGACTTTTCATTTTCATTATTTCTGGGCTTTCCTCAAGGTCGGAAGGATGTATTGCATCCAGGATAGTGTATTTACCTATTTACTTAGCTTGCAAAAGGTTTTAAACATTAAGTAGTCATAATTGCTCATTTACTTTATGTGTTTTTTTTTATCCTTCCCCTTTTATGTTAAAAAAATGATTCCAAACAAAGACAGATACAGATGTATTCTTTTGGCTGGAAAAAGGAAAAGGGGAATACTCTGTTTCAGCACTGGAAACCACTAGATGTCTAGAGATTAACCAGGGGATTGGGTGCTTTGATGTTTAAAAAATAGGGACAAATCTGTAGAAATGACCAAAGAAGCTTAGAAGGTAAAATGAACTGAGAGAATACCCATGGCAAATGTTAGAGAAGTCAAGACAAAGGCTAGTGGTGCAAAGTGACATCTTTGCAAGCACTTGATGTTTCTATATAGGGCTTCCCATATTAGGAAATAGGACTTGTTTTAAGAATGATAGAAAATACAATTGGAGGGAGGGAGAAAAGAGGGAGGGAGAGAAAGAGACACACAGAGAGAAGAACATACAGGACACTCCCAGTATTTTGTGGCTTTTACTCCATATATGAAAGAAGACAAAAACATACAAAGTATATGTACAACTAAAATTCAACAATATATACAGAAATGTTTCTCAATATAAACGTCCCTATTAGCTTAGTGAATGCCACCTATTCACCTAGTAAAGGTGTGAAAGCAATAGAAGGGTGATTTTGGTTCGCTCCTCTCTCTGTCTCTCCTGATTCCAGTTGAGGGGTTGAGGTTAGGGTGGGGGGGAAGAGTGGTTTTTCATCATTTCTGCCCATTCCACTTTGATAAAACATGCAGCATTCCTTTTGTGGCAACATTCTAATCTTACAGCCTTTCCCCTCTTTCTCTTTTGACAAAGGCTGTATGAGGCTTTTCCCCTTTTCTTTTTCTTTTTTTTGGTCAGTCTGAGATTGGTAAATAAAAACACAGGAGTCCAAAATGCTTCTTTTTTTTTCTTTTTCTTTTCCCATCATGTAATGTCTTAAGCTCATTAAACAAGTAAAAACGCTGCCATGTTTGCGCAGATTCTTCTGGTGAGGAGGGGGGAAGTCTGTAAAAAATGTTGTTTTGATGGATACTCCCAAAGAGAAGAGGAAGCTCAAAGCCTGGGCTCCCCAGGGGACAGAGAAAATATCCTTACAGTGGGGAGGGGGGGTTGTTCTGGAAGACTGGCATTGAAACCAGTCTTTCTCTCTCTCTCTTTTTCTCCCTCTAAGATGCAAGATCAGTATCTGAGGTTGCTCCAGGGAGAAAGGTAGACAAGATTAGGGGGGGAAAAGAAAGAAAAGTGGGGCAAGGAAGGAAGGAAGGGAGAGAGATGGAAGAAAGGGCAAGGAGAGAAAGTGAGAAAGAGAGAAAGAGCAAGCGCCCAACTTGCCCCTCGCCACACATACGAGTTGAGTTCTCCGAGCCTGCTCCTTCGGCTCGGTTTGGCAGATGCAAGCAGGTCCCAGATCCTCCTTGCCTGGTCTGGAAGTTTCCCTGTGGTAGTGATGTCCCTCCGGCAAATCACATCATCTGTGGTCTCTGCATCGTGTCCTGGTGTGGAGAGGAGTACCAGTGCGAATAGCCGGGCATGTAGCTATTGGGCGGCATACTGACGCCCTTGGCCGAGGCAGAAACGTCCCACACCGGAGGCAGCGCGGGCGAGCGCGGCGACAGGGCGGCCGAGCCCGGCAGGGGGTCACTCTCGTGCGGGTTACTGCCCTGCTTCAGCAGTTTCTTAAACTTAGAGCGTTTGTTCTGAAACCATATCTTCACCTGTAAGGAAGTTCAGTTATTGTTAGGCCCCCAGAAAACATCGAATCAGTGCCTCTAGCGTCACTCACGATTTGGGAAGCAGTATTTTTGAAAAAACAAAAACACTGCAAACAAGTCCTCAAGTCTCCGCCTCCCTCCACCTCTCTCTAGTCCGCCGCCCTCCTCCCATCCGCTAGGTATCTGGTCTGGATACCCACAGTCATTGTGATTTTTTAATTGGGTGCTAGCCAGGGCTTAACATGACAGTGTAAATAAGAATAAAATATAATGGGAACATTTTAGAATAATGGCCCTAATAACTGAATGAGGCTCAAAGTCTAAAGGGGATTTTAAATAGTCTCTTTTATGATCGAACCCATACAACTGAACGCACCTCTTTGGTTATCTGTGTTTTTATACTTTAAAACTCCAAAAGTTGGCTCATTCAATGCAGAAACAGTAAACAAATGCCTATAAATAAATATTTACAACCAAACGCCTTGAGTATATATGTCACCGGCTATGCAAGGAGCTTTTTCCCCCAGCCAAATAAATATATCCACACAACCCTGCAAGCACTAAAAATGCACTCATTTTCAACTTTACACATTGTTTAGTCAAACTGTGGTCAGCAAACAGCAGTCAAGATAGTTTAAGACCTGCTGCAGATTAAACAGGAATGAGACACCTGGGATGGGAGCATATCTGCTTTATCTGAAGAAGGCCACTCACTATATGGTGCAGCTTCATTTACCTTTAACAATCCTTAGCCACTTTTCCAAGTGGAATACAAGTCACTGGGTAGCAGAAATTCTTTCCTATCAAACTCTATTTTAGGGGCAAAGTGACAAGACAATGTGGGCTAACTTGAAAAGAAGAGCTCAAGGAACATCTTATCTGAGAGCACTACAGAATCAACCCCCCCCCCTCAGTCTCCTAAAATCTGAAGTGCCCTCACTGAAGAGTGGGACTGCCAGCCATCCCAGGCAGCTAGGCTCACCAAGGACAAAATGCAGGTGATTGCAGCCTGGCTTTATTACCAGGGTCTCAGTATGCCTGAGAAAACCCCTTCCGGTGAAGTCTGAAATGCCTGCTCATGTCTTTCAAATTCAGTAGAAGGAAAGAACTTCAGCAATTAAATTTACTATAGTTTCACCTGGTACGTTTTTGGAAGCATTTCTATCTCACTTCCAACTCTGCCATTGTCCCAGAGTCCTGTAATGCAGGAAAGTACCTCAGCCTCCTCTGGCCCCATAAGCCATGGCAATTTAACCACTGGATTTAGTTCTTAGAAAGGTCAATTCCAGCCATTCTAGGATGAACCATTTGCATCATAGTGCCTTTGCAATACCCCACTGGAGCCTAGGCCTCTTCTCCCCAACTTTCACTTCATAATTTTCCTTTTTATGGCAATTACTTTAGATCCTTATTCATTTACAGGGCTCATACAAAATTCCTTAAAAAGCATGGGCTTTATTCTGTATCCTGACCTGCATCCTGTCTCTATATTCTTTGTTCCCTTTCATGTCAGCCTGTTCTGGAACTGGACTTGATTGAGTTTGGTCACCAAAGAAGAGTAGGCTAGGTGAGTTTTCCGAGAGTTGGAAGGATGTGCAAATCCAATCCAGTATTTAATAGCAGGTTATTTATTCCAAACTGCATTGTCCCAGGAAAGTGCATAACAGGAGCAAAGGCATTTGTCACTAAGCTCCTTCCATTCTTGATTGACTAGGCCAAGAATTCCTCCTGGTGCATTCCCTGCCCAGACTGCCAGCAGGATCAGCATCTCGGGGATACTCGCACTTCCCAGAATTACCTGTGTTTGAGTCAGTCCTAAGGAAGCTGCCAGTTCAGCTCTCTCGGGTAGGGCCAGGTACTGTGTCTGCTGGAAGCGATGGTTTAAAGCCTGTAGCTGTAGGCTGGAATAAATGGTCCGGGGCTTCCGAATCTTTTTCCCTTTTCCATTGAACCTGATTTCTCCGTTTTCAATCACTGTGGTTTTTTGTTGATCTGCAAGCAAAAGGGCATAAAAGTGTGATCACTCATTAGGCCACTGGTGCCATTTCCCTGCGAGTGACCTGGCCTATCCAGGGTATCCCCAAAGCCCTTAAAGCGTTTGGAAGCATTGTCACGCCGCCCCGGCCTTTATGGATATACAGTACTGGGCTTCACAGAGACCCCAGTCCGTAGCCCTAACTATGTGCCCTAACTGGACGGAGGGAGCGCCCGAGGCCTTTCAGTAAACAGCCTCTGCCCAAGGGAGGCGGCGCCGGCCGCTCACTAGGGTGCACAGCTTAGAGGGGCGATGGCTCAGCGGTTGGAGGCCCTCTGGGCCTCACAGCCTTAAGCTGTGTTTAAGTCACCGGTGTTTACGCAGCCTGTTAACTTAATGTCACCAGCTCCAAGTCTGCTTCATCAAACCTTCTTGGCAAATTAGAAATGATTCTGCTGAGAGGGACCCAAACCTCCAAACACAAGCAGCTGCTCCGATCCTCTCAGGAGCAGGGCTGCGCCTTTGGCAACTTTGACCCCCTCGAGTGTTTACAACGATTCGCCAGAGGCTCTCCGTTGCTCCGAGTGAACAAAGGAGCAACCGACCCAGTGCCGGAGAATTGGAGGAGGGGTCCTGGTCAGGGCTGGGGTGGGGGACACCTCAAAGTCTGCGAGGATATAGTCCCAATTGTCACTAGTTAAGCGAGAGCCCGAGGCCATGCCAGCTTCCCCTCCAGGTCACCAAGGCCAACTGGACATCCCACACAAAGTAGGCCACTAGTTGCCTAGCACGGACTAGGGGACAAAACACGCTCCTCAATTTGGGTTCATAAATGTCCCCATTCCTGGCCAGACACTGGTCACAGCCTGGGAGGGAGGAGGAAGGCAAAGCGGGCGCACAAACCCAGCGGGCTGGAGGGCGCGCAGAGCGGGCAACCTCTAGGATGCAGCCTGCACGGAGCCGAGACGCAGCACCGGCGCGCTGGAGGCGGGGGAGCGAGGGAGCCGGGGTCCGCCGCGGCGGGAAGGGGCCGGGCGGGGCCAGGCCGGCAGGC